TTAGAAAATAAAACTAGGTTTAGGAAGCACATTTGGAAATGAGAGGCAAAATAAGTGAACCATCTTGCCTAAAATCAGAATTCCCTTTCAAAATATGGGTGTAATTACTTGGATGCCACTCTGAAAATACCTGCTCCCCCATTGAAAATCACCATCTTTAACGTTAATCCTCACTTCATCAAAATCATCATAAACATCAACAAAAACATCTTCATCATCAAGACATCATTGAGAAAAAAAATATAGGCCTAATAAATAAAAATAAATGAAGAACAGCCACTGGATGATTCAGTGACTGTTAACTCTATGAATAAACTTTGAAATGCATAGATTTTGAATCATCATTTTCAATCCAAAACGTGTAAAAATGACAACCAACAATCAACATAGCAATTAACATGACCAACCAAGGCAAAAAGTTACTTCAACTTAAATACTTCATCTCATTTTTCAATAAAAAAATTAAGTTTAACACACAAACAAACAAACATAAACGCCTCTTTTAGGCTGATTATTCCAACAAATTTTCAACTCCAATTTTCAACTAACACTTCTTTCACGTCAAACTCAGTCAGCTCAGAGCGATGGGCAAGACCAAAATCTTTTAACTACACACACAATTATTTAGGCATGGGACTGAAGACTTAAATACTAGATTCCATTACCCTGTCATTATCAAATCAAAAAGTAATCTATCAATCTAATTTTGTACAAAGATAGGAAATAGTAATGTCACCTGCACTTGACACGCCTTGCTCACTTTGCTGGACAGGCCAGGGTGGAATTGCGAGATAGCTCTGTTGATATTGCGCAGAAAACTCGCCATGTTGATTGCCGACATGTTTTACAAAATAATGAAAGTTCGTTGACTGAACTGACACTGAGCATAATGCATGCATGCTACAGAGCTAGCTAGCTGAAGCGGCACTGGAGGGAGAATCGTATTTGTTTGATTGATTGATTGCATGATTGATTGATTGATTGATTGATTGATTGATTGTTAGTTTCCTTTTGCACTTGTTATATTTTGTGTTTGGGTGGGGGTGGGGGTGGGCTGTTATTTTTCTTTTCATTTTTTTTTTGGGGGGGGGGGGGGGAGGGGAGGGGTATTTTTTATGTAGACTATAGGACTAGACTATTTGTGTACTGCATCAAAAAATCTTTTGGCAGGTAGATTGAATAATTCTGATTAAGAAAGCCCATGCAGTATATTGTGAATTGAAGTAAATTGTCAACATCACAACTGATGAGTAGTATAGGCGTGCCGAGAGGAGGGCAGGCGTGGAGCGGGGGCCGGCCCCCCCCCCCCCCCCCCCCAGAAAAAAAAACTTGTAAAAAAAAAAGATGGTAACGTTAATTCTTTTTTTAAACAAAAAACTTAAGTTTAATATTGGGTTTATGAATATTCATATATCACTGGGTCAAGCGGGCTGACTCGTACGTGGTTATTGGACGCTTATTCACCGGCCGACTGAGTCGCTGTTAATTTTTCACAAATTGAACCCCCCCCCCCCCCCAAAAAAAATAAATAAATAAATAAATAAATAAATAAATAAATAAATAAATAAATAAATTATATGCTCGTACCCCCTCCCCCACCTCGCTTATTCACCGGCCGACTTCCTTACAAATTGGAGACCACCCCCCCCCCAACAACAACAACAACAACTACAATGTGGCGGCGGAGCGACTTCCATAGTGGGATGATGGCACGAACCAAAAAAAAGGCACTTTTGGGGGGAAAAAGGGCACCTACAAAAGGAAATCTCAAAGCGAATATGTACAGTTTGTAGACATAGGTATATACCCCTACATTGTGATTATATTATCAGGAATGATTTCAATATTTGTTTCTGTTTTTACAACAGACAAGACATTGCTTAATTGCATCATACTTTGCGCTTATGTAATGGTCTAAAAATTAATTTGCGAGCGAAGAATTTTTTTTTAAATTTGTGAGGTGGCAGTGCCAAAAATTATAAGCACATTCTCAGAAGACTGAAAGGACCTTTCTATAAACGCGAGCGAGCTTTGGGGGAAATTGCTCTTAGTCGCTTGAAATAAAGGGCGCGTTTAATGATGACAGGAAAAGGGAACACTTCGTATAGACATTTATTAGAAAAGAAAAGGATCACGTGTTAGGGTACAAAGGGTTATTATCAGTGTTAGGGTACAAAGGGTTATTATCAGGGGTGAAAATGGGGCACTTCTGACACTTTACCAGGGATTTAAAACGAGGCACTTATGATAATGGGAAATTGGCATTTTGTCGACGGAAAAGAGGCACCCATCAGATTTTGAAGGGAAATTATCAGAGGTGAAAAGGGGCTATTATCGCACCTGATATGAAAGGGGGCACTTATGAGAATAAAAAAGGGGACACCGATCAGATTTTAAATAGGGGCATTTATGGGAGGTGAAAGGGGGCTTTGATGAGAAAGGGTGGAGTGGCTGTTATTCAAACAAATAAGAGGCACATGTTAAAATTAACGCGGCACTTATCAGAGATGAAAAGAGCGTAATTATTAAAAGGGGTACTTATAAGAAGGAAAATATCATATATTAGATAGGAAAAGGGACACGTGCCAAAATAAAAGGGGCAGTAGGTGAAAAGGGACACTCATCAGGGATGAAAAGAGCACTTGTCAGGAGGGGAAGGGGCACATGTCAAAGTTAAACAAGTATCTCTCAGATTAGAATAGCGCAATTATCAGAGGTGAATGGGCAAGTTCTCGAACCTGGAAATGGGCGCTTACTAATGAGAATGGAAAATGGGGACTTGTAGACGGAAAAGGCGCATGTGTCAAAATAAAAGGGGCACTTTTCAAGGGTGAAAAGGGGAAGGGACACTTGTACAAATTAATAGGGGCACTTGCCTAAGTAAAAGGGGCACTTTTTCTATGTTGAAAGGGGGTACTTGAAAAAGTGGGGACTGTGCCTCGCCCCCCCTCCCCCCCCCTCTCTCTCTCTCTCTCTCTCTCTCTCCTTCTCTCTCCCTCCCTCTCTCGATCTTTCTCTCTTCACATCAGCATTTCCCATTCGATTAACACGCCCTCTCAATAATGTATACCCCAATTTCTTTGGGCGAACTTTTTTTCGCCATTTAATTGCATGCTATGAGGCTTGACGTGGAATTTACATCCTATATGCCTTACAATAGGATGTCCGATCAAAATTCTTTCAAGATTTAGCAACAGCAATGTCTTGTCTGACTTCCTTTTTACTAAAAAGAAGAATAAGTAAATGAGCCAAATCTCCAAAGAACTATAGGCCTATAGTTTTTGGGAGGGGTCTACCTGATGAGAAATAGAAAGGATTATAACATTAGAACGATACATGTACTTGGAGGATGCTTCATTAATGACTTCGCTCCCGGCGAATAAATAAGTATAGTGAACCCTGTTTGGTTGCCCTAGCTGCTCGTAATTGGCATGCTTAACATATTTCTTGCTTTTCTGAAATAGACGCCTTTATCTTTTCAAACCCATTGTTTCCTACTGCCGAAAAGTTGCATTCCGATCAAAAGAAGAGAATACGTAATGCTTTATCGGGTATCCTACAAGTGTCAGTTTGACCCTTGAACTCGATCTGGAGAACCATTACCGGTACCGTACAACACTGGACAAGGTCACCATCTCGTTGGTCCTCAAACTCTCAGACGACAGCATGATCAATGATACTTGACATTGAAGGAATTGATTTCATAGATGCCTGATCACTGATATTTGCTGATTTTTCAATCATCCAAGGAAAGGTAAAATATTATATTTTTTATTTCTAATGATCAAGATGGGATTGAATATACTTAGATTTTTGCTTTTCCAATATGGTGATGTTCTCGTTCTTTTTCTTTTTGTTGATGATGATAATGTTATTGTTATTGCTGCTGTAGCTGTTGTTGTTGTTGTTAGTATAGCTTAAAAACGAACATCTTCATCAACAACATCAGCAACCACAACCACAACAACAAACAACAATCAAACAAACAAAGAACGCAAGTGTTTGTTATGAAATTAGTCTATCGAAAAGATTAAACCATTATCATCATCAAAACGAATATTCATGACCACTATTATGATATATCTAAAGGCCTGAGATTTATATATTTTTATAAAGCGATTTCACTTGTAAGAAAGGTTTGGTTTTTAAAAGAAATTATTTTATTTTTAACAGAAAATTCGGAGTATGGGTCGTTCGGGCACAAAACGTCAGTTAAAATCTCGACGACCACGGTCTTGCCAGGCTCGCTTCGTGCCCTTGAAGCCAGTTTTATCAAGCGCTGACCGGTTCATTCCCCATCGCCATATCGATCTTTCGGGGTTTCTACTCAATTCCAGAGCGAGTCGGATTCAGACGGAACACAGACGATGGCAACTGTCATCATCGTCGTCGTCGTTGTCGCAAGCCGACGACTCGACGGGAGAAAGCTTTACGACGTCGTTGTCTGATGAAAGCATAATGTCTGCATCGACCTCAAGCTCCATGTCAACGTCGTTATCCGAAAACAGTTTTAATGACACGGTAAGGACGAAGTTATTAAGTTTTTGACGAATTCTTTTTCTTCTTCTTTTTGTTATCATAGATTCACAGTCATTATCATTTTTGACATATATCTCTCTCCAAAAATGTGTTATTATAAAGAGAATTGTTTATTCGTTACGGTGCACGTATCAGATTATAGAGAAATGGCTAATGGCTTATATAGCTGCAGTGTGCCATGATCTGAGCAAGATCAATGCAGGCACAATGAAAGTTGGCGGCTCTGTTGTATTTTAAAGTTATTTATATAGATACTGTAATCATTGAAGCAGATAATACTGAGTATTTCATGCAAATTCCCTAGTATATACTTTCAATTTTGATTATTTGTTCGTTTACTTGTTTTGGGTTTCTGTTTTCTATGTCAATATGGTGCCTTTTCGAAGTCATTCTGATCCATCATCATTATATTCTCACTAATCATTTAGACTTGCCACGATGATGTGTTCAGTGGACAAGTTGCATCTATTCTTTTCGAGGGTTACGAGAAGGAAAATGAAGACATATTGAATTTCAAGCCACGAAAAAGCAAAACAGGTAAGATATTGACACGCCAAATTTGAATCCGATTCAGAAATAGTTTAAGATTAGGAGGTGAGGGCCCCTCCCACCACCACCACCAAGGGGCGGATCCAGGATTTTCCAAAGGAGGGGGGGGGGGGGTGAAACTAAATTTCGAGCGCGAAGCTTATACGGCGATAATGATAATGATAATACGAAATAAATATTATCTATCATCCATCAACATTTTATATTTGTATTATCATTTATATTTATTATTATCATAATTATTATTAATATCATTTTGATTTGTATTATATTATTATCATCGTCATCATCATCATTATCATTTTCATATTTTTCATTAAAAGGGGGCAGAGATTCCATATTCTCGTCTTCACGTCACAGTAATGGATCGGATAATGGTCGGACGATTACTGGCAGACTACAAGTTGACCAACGCAGCAGATTTTTAGATAATCTCGCACCAGAGACTATCCTTAGTGCAGATCATGCTGCAGAACGTAAGTTTCTTTTTTTCCTTTCTTCTGCATGTTTATTATATTGCTACTTTATATAAGTTTGAGGTCAATATCTGTTTCCTCTCCAAACCAATTACGAGACGGGGTTGGGAGCTGCAGCCTCTTCCCTCTTCGTCTTGAGACTTTATAGATATATTATTTTAGGTACCTATCACATTATGGTCGGGTAATGTTGGCGCTCTTGTTGTTGTGATCTGTGGAGGTGTTGTAGTCCAGTGGACAGGTCACCTGAGTGTGGATCACGAAGTACGAGGTTCGAATCCCTTCCACGGTGCTAATATGTCATTAGGCAGAGATTAATCTTTATTTGCTACACTCAACCCTGTATGGCTACCGGTAGGATGCAATACCTTGAATTATTCAGCTCCTCCCGATAAGGGCAGCTTATTTGACGTTGTTCAGTATGTATGCGATATATTACACAAAATTCGAATATTATCATCATCATTATAGAGGTGTCGTGGTCGAGTGGATATGTCACCGGACTGTGGATCACAAAGTCCCGCCGCGGCACTAATGTCCTTTGGCAAGACATGATCTACATTTGCCACTCTCCACCCAGGTGTTAAATGGGTACCCGGTATGATGCGAACGTTAATGTAGTTGGATTAGCAAGTGGCGCTCGTAAAATGGCGACTGACTGGAATGCTCCCCAGGGAGTTGAAAATGTGCATATTGTGTTGCGTGTAAGCCTGAATCCGATGACCGGAGTATTATGCTGCGCCTAGAAACAAAGTATTAGGCTGCGTTCATGCTTAAATTTTGAAGGCAGAATGAGCGATCTGAAACGCTCATCGTAAACGCTCATCGTGATCGCAGTTCCACGATGTAGTGTTCATGCTTACTTCTCTGGCTCCCCAGGCAATTCTCCGTGTGTGGCCTTAATTGGTCTTCCAGCTGGATTCGCAAACCTTCACTGTGCATGCTACGTAGACCCACTAGAGGTCAGTGCGTTGACCCCATTTAAACGCGTTTACAAATTGTAAACGCATCTTTTTGTGAGTTTACGATCGGCGATCGTGATCGCCGTTTTTCGGTGATTCTACAAAAGTGAGCTAAGACGCAACCGTGTTTCAAACTAAACGCGTAACAGATGCCTGATTCTGGCCGTCAAAATCAAGCATGAACGCGCCTAATGTGAGCTATTATTATTATCACCAACCTCCTCTTTTGTCATCTCGTGAGCAGCATTAGATATTCTCGATGTCCACAGTGAAGGTGATGTCCTTCTCGTTAACGACGACGCTGTCTACACATGGAACCCTTTGGAGCCCTCAAAATTCTGCAACCTATACGAGCCGAACATTGACAATGTGAAAAGTGATTACGTACAAATCAGCTGCGCGGGATGGCATGACAGTGCTAGGTTGATTGCCACTGGAACAACCTTGACACAGACCCGGGGCTTTGTTGTAAGTGCTGATAGAAATTGAATACATGTGTTGTTATAATTGTTTGTATAGATAAAAGATATTGAATACATTGTATTGAAAGATAGATCTGCTAATAAAGACGCCTTACAGTTTGAGGCCATTACTGTGACCTCCTTAATCACTTCATAATTTTTTTTTCTCGAGTTTTCCCTTTATTTGAAATATAACAAGAAAGCATTTAAGTCATTTTTCTTTTCTATATAAATTAAAACTGGTAAGAATTAAGGATGGATGAGAAGCTTGTAATACCTTTCAAGTTTTATACAAGTCATGTACATTACTTATCCAAAGTAGTGGCATATCCAACTGGCAATGTTTCTACAATGTGCGCGGGGGGGGGGGGGGGGGGGGGGGTAGAATAGATACATTTTGCCCTCCCTCCCGGGGAAAACCACCACCCGTTTGTCAATAATTTTAAGGGTACACCGCTACGTGAGGCAACTGACAATGTTTCTACAGTGCGGGTGGAAGGGGGGTTGGCAACGTAGATGCATTTCGCCCTCCCGTCCGGAGAAAACTACCACCCCGTTTATCAATAATATTGTAAGGATACGCCACTACCTGAAAACAAGAGATTATACACTGTGTTTATTTAGTTATACCTAAATTATGGCATTGGAAACAAAACGCGGGTATGTTACACTTTACGATACGTTTCTTTCTACACAGACACTGACGAATTTAGAATCGAGTCTACAACGCAAGTACTACGATGAATTCGAACTTGAGTCATCTCCACTCTGTATCCAGTGGAACAGAACCGGCGTTACATGGTGAGCTCCATCTGTAATCCACTAACAATCATTTTTGTTGGATTTATTTTCAATAATCATCGTTGATACTTCTATCATGACGATAAAGATTATGACGGTGATGATGACGATGAAGATAAGGAGGAGATGGGTACGAAAATGGTCTTCTTCATGCATCAGTGTTATCATCATCATCCTCACCAATGTTATCAAAACCATCTCTTATTATCATCGTCAACACCGCCATATAATTATAGTGACGGGGTGACGATAATGGCAAGTGTTGGGAGGAGGAGGAGGAGGAGAATGAGGAAGAGGAGGAGGAGGAGGAGGAGAATGAGGAAGAGGAGGAGGAGGAGGAGGAGGAGGAGGATCGAGGAGGATCGAGGAGGAGGTGGATCAGCTTCACCACCGGTATCATCCATCAGTATAAGTCGCTAGAATTAGTCGTTACAACATCCGGTTTGTATAGGCTTATCAATAATAATTTATTGTTTTTACTCTCATGAACCACGAAAGCGGATGCGAGGATGGGGGCGTCTACCACTACGACGACCGGTGCAGATCGAACAAGCCTGTACTGATATTCAATGGACACTGTATGCCAGTCATGTCCTGTCGATATAACAGAGCTGGAGATCTCCTTGCCACCGGGGACTTCATGGGTGACTTGTTGATCTGGGACAAAAGACAGCCGACGAAACCTGTCAACAGTTTCAGAGAGGCCCATGCAGGAATGATTGTGGCAAGTTATTCTTAAAAAGATTGATCAGGACCTTCATGTCTTGTCTCCGCCTTCTCTCTGCTATCTCTCAAAATGTCGTGAGACATGGCAGGGAACATCGAGACGGATGCAAAGTTGAAAAGGGGGCAAGAGGACAGGGAATTGTTGTAGTGGTGGGTGGACGAAAATATAGGAGGCTTTAATCATAACTTGTTATAAAGAATATCTCTTAGATCCCAATAGTAAAAACTTACAACATTTCCAAGATATTCTGAGATCCGCCATGACATTGAGACATAATAGTCAAAGTTCACTTTATTTCCGGCAAGATTTTATCATTCAAATATATTGGATGTATACCAATGACCTTTTGGTTCGCTACGTTTCACACGATCTATACTTCCCTGCTTTCTATATAATTCTCACATTGCCATCGGTCCTCTATAATTATGTTGATCTCCTTACATTTCCAGGCGATGTCTTGGTGCCCATGGCAACAAGATCTCCTAGCAACCGGCAATGCACGGCAACACCCAACATTGAAGTTCTGGAACCTCAACACTGGACTAAAGAGTAGGGAGCGACGAGTGCCACACGAGGTATTGCTTTTGAAATACAAGGCTCTGTTCATTCAGACAGGCTTAAGCCTGATTAATTTCAACCCCTAATTTTCAGACCCTATATAGGCTGTTGGACTTCAGTGTAGAGAATGATGAGTGTCACACGATGTAAAATAAGATATTTGGTAAGATAAGAGACATTCAGTTTCGAGTTTTGATTTAATTAATTCCTCTACTTCTGCTTTCCTCAGTGAGTTATCACTTTTGTGGTTGAACTTTACTGGTGGCAGCGGTGGGATTGCATGGGGAACGACTGTCAAACGAAGTAAATGAGTCCGACTCTGTACTACCTTCAAGATCTTGGACCTATTCCAAGGCCTTAATGGTCGGGTGAATTCCAAATATAAATTGATTCCTGTTGATGTGCAGGGCTGGATACAACACATATTTTGTTTTTCAAACATCTAAATATATTTCGTAGATTTTTAAATATTTGTTAAAATTATTTTCTCAGGCTATAAGCTCCATCCTAAAAAAATGCTCCAGATCTCATTCATCTTATGACATCATCTATCAATCATTACTCATTTAATAGTGAGCTAACAAGATAACAGTGATATGTAACTTCCCGCAGCTCAGCACACGCTCTCAAAAGAATATTGCTTTCTTTCATACAATACCTCCACATTACCTTCCTTTTCCTGGTGATACAGCACGTCTGACAGAGCAGCTCCTATGTTGGTATTGTATGGTCTATTGTTAACTGTGGTTGCTATGTAGGTTGAAAAGTTGTCTTTATTGGTGGCAGCGGTGGGATTGCATAGGGAACGACAATAATGAAACGAGGTAAATTATAAGATATAGTCGTTAAGATAATTTGAGCCTAGTAACTTTTGTTGGAATGCTCCCCAGGGAGTGGAGAAAGTGCATACATCGTGTGTGGGCAAGCCAGAATCCGATGAGCGGGGTAATAACGTAAATCGCTTAGAAACTAGGACATTCCCGACGTATTAAGCGCTATATAAGCAAAAATGTTATTATCATTATAATCTATTCTGAAGTTTCTTCAGAATTGAACAGCCCTTCTTATTATAATGCATTTATTTTTCAGATTACATCTGTTCAGTGGCTCGAGACTGAGCGGGAACTTATTTCGAGTCACATGGGTACTTCAGAAGGCATTGTCATCTGGAAGTACCCTTCACTGAAGCGTCGAGGCACCCTCAGACGTAAAAATGACGGGTCCTTGAACATGGGACTGATCAAGAAGTCAAGCAAATTGGGTAAGATTGGAATATGTACGTGAACTAGTATAGAAAAGGAAAGAGTTGATTTAACAAAATGAACTTTTTCCGTTTTCCCATATTTCGTTTCTTTAGGCACCACTTTCATGTGTAAGTAAAAGCTTAAGCTCAAGTTTCGTTAGATTTCTTTTTGTTCTCTATTTTGTCCAAAAAAAAAAAAAATTCTAGTTCAGAATTGATAAGTAGAATAAAATAAGATAAAAAGCAGCCTTTCATTTGGTGCACTGGCAGAACAAGAAAATGTTATCATGTCAACAAAGCTAATCAAAGACAGCTTGTTTCCTCTTCACGACAGTCTCTATTTCTGAAGACCATTCCATGTACGTCTGGAATCTAGACCAGTCCGGGAGGTCCTCTGCCATGATGTCACAAAGAAGACGAACATCCACCGTTCTTACGGAGAGAAGGTCGCCCTTTCAGCTGGGACTCATGCGATAAAAAGACATTCTCCTGTGGCATAGATACAGGGGATACGAGAGGGACCCTTCGATGGTCATGGTCTCTCGAATGGTTTGACCCACCCCCATGTCAACCTACTGCTTAATCTAAATTGATTAGATATTGAGACATATAATTTCAAGCACATTGTAATAAATTAAAACATTATCTTAATGATATCACCGGGTCATGCTAATAAGAAATTGAATGACCATGATGACAACTATGTTAAATCTTCATGTACTGAAACGATGATTCCATATTCATACTGAAATTTCGATAGACAAATTTACAAGGATGTTGAGTTTTGACATGGTTGGCGTATAACTTAAGTTGTCATCAACGATCTGTTGACGACAGCATAGTAAAACCCTCATTCATGACTGAACTTTAGGACCTATGTCTGATACAAAATAAAATGTATTTCTTATCGATAGTATTAGAATGAGCCGCAACGCAACGTTGTATTGAATGCTGGAAAGTGAAAAATGAAGCTCAAAGTCTAACATTACATTTACAATACATGACAATGGTTGGTTGAGCTCAATGTATTTAATTGTTCTGTACTACCTTAATTATTGGTCTGTTGCTCAATTGTCATTTTATAATATAAATTATCTTAAAGAAGAACGATTCTTTCTTTAACCTGTTCAAGGAATGAAAACTTGAGTTTGTGTAAAATTTAATTTTCGAGCGACTTCAAGTCGAAAATAATATTTAATTTTCGTTTTCCTTTCAAGAGAAAGAAAATATCAATTTCATTTCATTTATATTTGATTATTTTTTAGAAAATGATGAATCAAATTCATTATTTGCTCATGAATGAATTATGAATCAATAACGACAAAGTCAATAAATTCATTGAAAACATGAAATGTCAAAACGAACCTAAATATTATAAATTGCTCATTTTTTCTTCTTCTGAACATTGCGTCGTTTGATTGTCAGGGTAAGAGGGATGATAGGTAAGGAGAGATTGGAGAGAGAGTGGGAGCGGTGAAGATAGAGGGAGAAGGTGGAGACAGAGACAGAGAAAGAAGGATAGAGAGAGAGAGAGAAAGAAAGAGAGAGAGAGATGTGGAAAAAGAGGGAAGGGGGCGAAAAGATTTGCATGACGCCCTGACCAAAGTCTTCTTGCATACATTAACAATTTGTGATAAGATAAACGCAAATGTTATTATTAGGGTTTAGTTTTGGAGTTTATTTCACTGCAATATTCGTGCATTCAGATCCCAGGTCATAAAGAAAGGGTGAAAAGTAATTATAATTTAGCTTTTTTTTACGATTCTATATTGAATGTAAAAAACGATTCAGACTCATATAGTGATTACTACTATGTAAAATGCATTCTCTTTTATACAATCCATTTGAGTGTGTGGAGTTGTGCGTGTGTGCGCGTGTGTAGGTATGTGTTGTGGTGGAGTTCATAAGTCGCCTTAAAAATCATGTCATGATCTCATTTGACAGAAAATGCAAATCGAATATTTCCCTACACGATGCCAGCAAAATAACCAACGTATAATTTAAAAAAAGACACTAGTAGTACAGTGCTTCATTTGAACAACTTTATTCAAAAGTGAATTAAAAAAACAACCCCAAATAATTCCAAACGAAAATCAACACTTATCATTCTGTTAAATCTGTTAAATGAATTGAAACATAATTCGTGAACACAATTAAGAGAGATTTGCCTCTTACAAAAATAGAAAATCATATCAAATCAAATTTTAAGATTAATCACCAATAATATCAAACCGTTTTTTTTTCTCAAACAAATAGTACGATGAAATAGTTTCTATAAGGTAACAAGAGGTGACAGAAAAGGAAAACCTCAGTCTATACAGAAAACGAATTGTGTAAAGCCAAGTACTTTGAATTGAAAACAAAGTATAACGTCTCAGGAGAAATAAATAGAAGACATAAAATAACACTAACATAATTTAAAGATAGGATTACGTTGAACAGGATCGCTAAGACTTTCAAGAAATCAGGCTTTATAGGGCCATTTCAGTACCCCTACTATATGGCTTGCGTATGCGATGTAATGTTCACATATTTCAAAAGGTGACTCACAAGTTTATTAGAATTGCTTTACACTCGTGTACTAATTTCTTATTTGTATACAGTGTTCAAACAAAACATAAAACAGAACGTGCAAGATCCAAGGTCCAAGAGAATTGAACGAAACTAAGGGATTATAATTCTCTTATCGTGTAGAAGAAAGTGTCATATACTGAGAGTAACCGGCTATTTATGCCGTTGCGAAAGATCTCGTTATCCTGTCCACAATCTGGATACATTTTGCAATTTTTAACTAAAAAATACACGATGGCAATTACTTTCGAAATATCAAATTAAGAAAGTTGCGATAGCCCCGTGTAGCTGTCATCTTTTGAAACGTACGAACATGACAATGATGTACATGACTTGTGATACGTAATCCGACATTACAAACATGATTTATTAGTACATACCACGGGTTATATATTGAAAAAGCTCTTGACTTGATTTTTTGGAAGTAGTTGCGATTGTGTTTTTAATACCAGAACTCTTTTTTTAATCGACAGTGCACAATAATTCTATGCAAATAAGTAGTGATTTTACGTTTAAACAGTTGTTTTCAACACACACACATAATTTTTGCAGCATATTAGTAAAACTATGTCATATTAACACATCGCTTAAGTATATAAGCTCACCATCAGCAAATCAGCACTATTTACAATGTTCGTTATAATCATCATCAGTTCTGAACACGTTTCCGAATTTTTTAAATCCGGATTTCATGTTAGAAAACCCGTACATATCATAATCATATAGCATGATGAAGAAAAAGGAAAACAAAACAAATTATAATGAATTGAACATATGACTGTTTCAACTTTCAAACGTTAACGTTAACGCGTACTTTACGCATGACAGGTTGCATATAAACTCATCCTACTATTAATCAACTTGTCGCTGCAAGATCAAAACAACCACCAATTGGTGAACAAGCATTCCATCAAACTAAGTTAAATGCACGTAAATGCACTTAAAAACAAAATTAAAACAGAAAGTAAATGCACTTAACGCAAAATTGTAAACAAAACAAGGATATGATGGTAACAAAAGCTCATCAACACATGAGGTGTTGTACATATTAATTGACGCAAACATTTAGCATATAAAATAAGTGTCACACGGCGTTTGCTCCATCATGAACGATAATATATATAGCACTATACATGTTTGCGAGTGAATTAGTGAATATGCACTGCACGTCAGTGGCGGATCTAGAGGGAAAAGGCGTGTAAAAACACGTGAATTTTACTTTTTGGGTGAGTTGGGCCCCCTCCCTGGCTCTCAAGGGGGGGGGGGGTGCTATTTTTCAAATTTTTGAGGGCCAAAACAAAAAATTAGTGCTCACTACCCTACCCCCCCCCCCCCCCACCACCACTGAGCGAACTATCGGCTGTTTCGCCCATAAATATTTTCTCACGAATTGACGAATTGGGCCCCCTCCCCTGCTGCACGTAGGTTAAGTCACAGTAGGACAATGAACGAGATTTTTCGAGTAACTAATCAGTTCATCATCGTGACTTAACCAAGTGCAGTGCATATCACTAATGCACGGGCTAAAAACATGTATTATTTGTGTAATAAGATGGGTCTACAATACGAGTATAAATTCGAGAAATTGACGATCCCGGGTGACGATTGTTATGACCAAAATGCACTCCCCATACATGCACATGGTAAAAAATTAATGCACGCTCACGTGATCCATTTCGACGCTTCTCATTGGTTACATTCTTGAACCCATATAATGAGGCTCACTACATACATGAAGACTGATAACACAACAAATTACGTTCACGACGGCGAATCGAGCTGCAGCATCTTACAATTTTGCTTTATCAAAGCCAAACCAGAGAGGTATTTTGGCCATATTCATTCAGTAAACAATTATATACTGTTTAGTCATGCAGCTTGTAGAAGTACTGATGTAATTGTACTGCTAAATACGATTATGTTAACACTGGATAAAGCAGCTTATATTGACGTAAAAACGTACTTTAACAGTCATCATTTGTAACTAGAAAAAGTTGGTTGTTGTCAGTGAGAAAGTTCAAAATAAAACAGTCGTGACAAAATTATACGTGTATGTGCAATTTCTCGCTCGTGATTACATAAATATTAATTTTGCTGCATAATGGAGTTGAAATCTTCAATCAACTACTTGGTTCTAATTATTCTAGCGATAAGGCATTTCATTATTATTCCCGTATAAGCGAAACGATAGTTCCATTTCCATGAAAGATTACCCCATTTTAAAGAGAAATGGCTTGTCTTGATGAAACACCATACGGTTAATCCTCAAAATTTGCTCGTATTATCTATTTTAGCTCCCTATTTTAAAGAGCATCAACAGTGGCCATGAATAAACCAAAAATTTAAATGTACTGTCAGGCTATCCGATATTCGTTAATACTCAGGACTTAGACCTTTTTATCACCGATTAATGTGTGATTAATTAATACCACTGGTTTTAATAAATCAACCTTGGTCGAATAATCAGATTTAGGAGTTACGTTTATGGAAGGAAAACAAAATTACATGTAAGATGCCCATGATAAAAAAACAGATTAATCGCCAAGTACTCCCAGTCTTCCAGGTACAATTCCTACCAATACATGATCCATCTTTATCCGTTATTCTGATATCAGATTTGCAATTATACCAACTAAAAGCTACTGCCACTATTATTACGGCGTCGTTCTAGACGACGTACTCGACTTCCTAGGCGACTTAGCTTCCGTCTTTGGAGGTGTGACAACTGGTGCTGGAGTCGACATGTCTAACTGCGGGGCCGGGTCGGTGGGCGATGCTTTCGGTGTTGGTGTTGATTTCGCCTGCGAAGTGACCTTGGCGGACTGGGACTCAGTTTTGGGCGAGATGTCTTTGGCGCGAGTAGCAGTCTTCGGTGGCGATTGCTTTTTACCGGCTTCAGATGGCTTTTTGGGCGGCGGGGATGGCTTCGCTGCAGGACCTGAAGCTTTTGTCTTGCTTGGTTTTCTTGACGGAGAAGGAGCCTTCGTTGATGAAGTGGACGGCTTGCTCTTTGTGGAAGACTGAGACAAAGACGACGACGACGAAGATTTTGATGTTGTTTGCAGCGATGATTTGGTCTTTGCTTTAATCGGAGAGTCTTTGGCTTGTACTAGCTGGAGCTTGCTAACGATTTCATAAATCTTGAGGGCGGGGCCAAGCTTGAATGACAGGCCAGTCAGGACGTCTGAACGTCGCAGCAAAAGGAGCGCATGGCCATCGATTTCCTAATGGTACAGAATAATATAACAAACGAGAATGGAGAAACGTTAATCCATGAAACCAGTTATCTAAATATATGAACTTATAGCATGATCGTAATCGTCAAAAAATAGATTTGATAAATACATAATGGGTTATCGTACCCCCCACTAAATCTATAACTTATTTTCGGAAAATTCGTTTAAGCAGGCTTAAAAAGAATCTGATATTAACCCTTTTCGACAAACCTGTCGAACCCCCTATACACCTATACAATTTAATTCGGCAAATCCGTTTTTAAGGGGTCTTGATTAATCTGAAATGGAATATTTTTCGGCTAACCAGGCCGTCGAACACCCACCGGCTCCTTTCCCATTTAAAATGATATGCCGACGATCCCGAACACATAATTTTTCAAAGTTTTCCTTGCATTCTGTCCGACCATAGACCCTATACGCATGGTCCGACTAACCGAAATCATAGGAACACATACATCGAAATATTGGCCGCATAATATCACCCTACATTGCATTGATAGAGTGGGTTTCCATGGTTTCCATGGTTTCCATGGTTTCCATGAAAAAATCTGATGTTTCGATTCGGCCGGCGCGTTCCAGTCGCACACACAGCACTTCCTTAAAATTTGCAGATGTTTCAACTAAAATGGGAATATTGTGTAACGAATACAGTGTATTCAATATTGCAGCAGCAGGGAATACGCGGAATTGTCGCTCTCATCAGCTGAGAAGTCATGAATCACAAGAATTTCATGTTTATACTTTAACAGCGGTCGTCTTAAATTCCTCCCGTGTTTATTCATTCGAAAACTATAAATAAAAATCTAAGAACTGCAAGCAGCCTCGCCGCTTCCGTTGATATACGGTATTTTGATTTATGTTTCTCAAAATACTGCAATGAATCCTTAAAATCTAATCTAGTCTACCTGATCCCTAAAACTTTCTGCTTGCTCCTTAAACCCTTTCTCCTGAAGGAGTTTGACGACATCTTCGAGAGACCAGTGAGCTGGATGCTTTGGATGGCTGGTCCCAGGCGGTGAAGAGGATGAGGTATTAGCCTGAGCTGACTGTACGGGTAGGTTGGCTACTCTAGATTGGTTGGGAGTCGCGACGTCAGGAGTAACCTGACCCGATGTTTCAGAAGATCTGGTGAACAATCAAAGAAAAAAAAGAGAATGGAAAATTTAGGATTATTGACATTTTTACGTAGCTGTATGATCGTCATTCGGCCTATCCTCATCAGCTCGAGATTGCCCAATAGAATAATCCCGAAGTTACAAATCGCATGTTCATCAGCTCTAGAGTTTTCCTCGAAACTTGAAACTCGAGCTCGAGAAATTAGCTCGAGATATTTTGCTCAGCGTTCGCGCATAGTGCGAGTCTTCGGGCTGGTGGAAACGCACCGGACAATTAGCGGGATATTTTGCAAACTAGCCCAAGATATCTTGGGATGACAATCTCGACCAAATATCCCGCTAATTGCAACTTCGGGCTGATGAAGACTCAAATTGACTGGATAATTTGCGATCGGGATAGTTCAAATAGCGGGATATATGGCAATCTTGAGCTGATGGAGATAGGCCTTCTATCATCAATATCAGCGTCATCACTATCTGCATCATCATCATCACCATCTTCATCGTCGGAATCTTGATAATCGTCATTAACATCATCATATTATCCTGGGTATATTCATAATCCTTCAAAGGGAGGGGGAGAAGAGGTTTTAATGCGCAAAAAACACAACATTTTCCCGATTACTTTCTTTCGGAGAATCATTTTCCCCCATGAATCCTGCCGAACCTCCCGATTCTCAGAAATGATGGGTCGCCGGCCTTATAAGATACAAAAAGATTTTAAGAATCTGGGCCCCATCTTGTAAGCTGGCGATTGATCGCGACTCATTTGCGATTGATATCAATCGCAACAATGTACATAAGAGAAAAGGGACTACATCTTGCGATTGATTGGAGGACTTTTCATGAGACAGGGTCCTGGTCAAATTAACATTCAGCCGGGGGGGGGGGTGCAGAGAGAGAAAGAGGGAGAGAGAGGGGCGGGAAAGAGAAAGAGAGAGAGAGAGAGAGAGAGAGAGAGAGAGAGCCGGGGGGGGGGGGGGGGTAGAGGGGCAATCGAGTGATGCTTACTCTTTTTTCACCGAATCATTTTTTTCTTCTATATGAGAACCGGCGCTCCCTGAGGACGAGATAACCGAATCTTCATCTAGTAAAAAAACAAAAAGTAGAACAATGTATTTCTTTAAATTAAAGAATAACAATTGGCACCTAAAGCAGACACACTGCTGATGTTATTGTTGTCACTGATTAATAACAAATTATAAAACTAAAAAACAATCAAACGGAATAACCGTGATAATTATTAGCAATAAACCAATCAACTCTCAATTATTTATTTTCATGTAAATTCAGACGAATTGATGATTTACCCAACAGAGATCCTATTATCAAAAGTTGATTTATTTTTCAAACCACATTTGTATGTATTATTGCCAATGTAAATTGGCAATAATTCAGCCATTTTGGCTGCGAAGTGCAATCATAATAAAAACCTTTTTAATCAATCAAAATCAATCAATAGAGCGACGGAAAAGATATAATCACTCACCTGTAAAATTACTGCCGATTTCCATGTCTTCACTTGCACACAACTCACAAACCCACCTTCCTGTATGGTTAGATAGTTATAAAGCCAAGCAAGTGAGTCATGAAGAAAATTTACTGAGATTTTGTTCAAATTCAACTCGTCGGCAACAAAAAGTTCAAAGTTGGGTCAAGGGGCAAAAGATTCTAAAAGAGTTATCATTTTGTTTTGTTGTCTGTCAATTAATGCTTCTGTTATAAAGAATACAACATTCTAGTAAAAAATAGTCAACACATAACACTATGCCCTCCTCATCCCCCTCCCTCCACTTCGTATCTCCCCCTACTCTGTTCATCTCTTCCTTCAACCTCCCTCCTTCTCTCCCTCCTCCCCTCTCCATCTGCCCTCTCACCACCCCTCCTATCTAGAAACTAATCAACGTCGATGCCATTAACATACTGCCCTTCCTCCATCCCTTCATTTTTCCACCAATCTTTAAAGGGAGTATCTCACTGAGCGGCGATTGCTTGCTAATGTAGCGAATACGGGGTTTCGCCAGGGTTCATAAAAGGTCCCAAATATTCACAAATAGTGGCAAAGGATTGGCAAATAGTTGCTAATCTTCGCTAATACTGTCGCTAACATTTGCTTACAGTTGCTAATAGTCGCCAACTGCCAAAATTCGCAACGTTCGTAAGCATTCGCCGCTCAGTGAGATACCCCCTTTACCGACCCTGTTATCACAAAACCAGCGACCATCCTTACCGAGTGGTTTCTCTTCCACTTTGGGGTTGTGGCATGCCATGTGGTAGCCCTTATCACACGAGTCGCAAAAGAGTAGAGTATCCTGCAGATCCAAAATACATCTATACATTGTCAACCGCCGATCGTACACAACTTTTTAATCTCTATCTAAAATGTTAGCAGTTAATGTTTATGAACTGAAAAGGAAATACATGTATGAAGTCTTATACTTGAAAATCGTTTTGACGGATCTATACATATACGACAGTCCGATATTTGCAATCACCAGTTATTGCTTTCGATAATCATTTTGAAATCGGATTTTATTAAATTCCTTGTAATATCTGAGCCTCTCCGCCCCCTCCCCCAGTGCGCCTGTTGATGATATAACCATTGTACGTAAATCATAAAAACAAAGAATCACACTTAGTAGCATTATTATTGATTTTTAAAAAGCAAGCTAATACTCTTCACGCAGAAATAGAAAACGGCAGCACTGCAAAAAGGAAATAACTACTTGCTCCTGAAGTTGGAAACGTAATGTTTACTGTTTATTATCTACCTTTTTCGATCACAAAAGTGCACGATTTTAATGCAAAACATATGTTATATACTTAATGATTACTTTTAGAGCCCACAAAAATGCGGTTACCTTTAGGTCTGTATTGGCAGCCCTGGGGTGGATCCAGCCGGCGGCAAGAGGGGGGGGGGGGCCAAATATTGAGAAAATATTTAGCGGCGAATCAGCAGCCGGCGAACGGCGAATGAGCGGGGGGGAGAGGCCCAGTTTTTGGGGACATTTTTGCGCCAGTGAATAAGGGGGGGGGGGGATGCTGGAGAGGAGGACCACTATTTTTTTAATTTTTTTTTGGGGGGGGGGGGAGATGAAGCGCCATTTTTACATGACTTTCTTTTTAACTCTCACTTTCACCTATTCTAGATAACCCTAAGTTTTTTGTTGCTGCTTTCTATGTAGTTGATAATGCAAGATTAAAATAAATAGAGAGAGAGAAAGAGAGAGAACCACCATCATTATGCAATGGATCAGGTTTTGTGTAATGTATATTTGAAACCATTTCTTAGCGTTAAACCCTGAAAAAAATAGCGAAACTATTTTTGAGGAAAAGCATTATACTGAACTGAATAAGGAATAATAACTTTATATTGGCTCATACTAATACTGATACGGGCTAAAGACAATGTGGTATCGGCACAGTAAGATCGGGTATTTTTATAAAGGTATTCCAAAATAACATTCTGATAATCAACATTTTGTTCTGTATTCATATGTATATACGCATAATACAATCGATCTTTATGATTTCTTAACGTGACATAGCTTCTTCTCCCCCTGCAAATACAAAAAGAAAACAAGGTTATTTGATAAAAGTATCATGCGACAAATAATCATTGCGATTCAAATTGATACAAAGATGTTGTTTTGAATAAGCAATGCTTTTCACCAGAATCTTCTTTGTAAAAACGACTTATACAAATCTCAGCCATGCAATTCTGCCACTGTGCTGTAAGATCACTTTCAGATTAGGAGAAGTGTATTCTTTAATGAGTATTTCAAATTGAATGGAACGTCTCAACTCAGTAAGCATGGCTGAGATTTGTAAAAGTTGTTTTTACAAAGAAGATTCTGGCGAATAGCAGTGCTCATTCAAACAAATATTTGCACAATTTGAATCACAATCAATACTTTTCACGACCTTGTTTTCTTTTTTCTTTCTCGTTCGCAAGGGGAGAAAAAGCTATATGTCACGTTAAAGACATGATAAAGATCAGTGTTATCTGCGTATATAATATACACAGGCCCCGCGGAACGTTTATCAAAGTGCGGGGCTAAAGTATTTACGATCAGGTAGAGGGTAGCGAGCGAAGCGAGCGGAGCGTAAATTGATTATGAGGGTTCAGGGGACGGAGCCCCCGGAAGCTCTGGGGTTTTAGGCATTTAATTACGGTCAGATAAGCACAAATATTTTGATTCCGCATTTGAGTCACTGGCAGGTCACAATATTTTTGTTGAATGAAGTAAATCATCGTCTGAAGCAATATTTACTCAAATGAGACACTTGCTAGATACTAAAAAAATCAATGTTGACCATTTAAGTACATTTTATAGGTGAAAATAAAATTTCTGTTTAAAATATAATACAAACGAGTACCGTCTCTTCTCTTCCTCTCACATATGGTAGATTTGTTTTTAGAGCGATATATACATGTCTAAGCAAGTGCCGCTGAAAGTTCCGTTATTGCGTCCTGGACTCAACAAATAACCAAATCTCACGCACGCACGCACAAAAGCAGTGAGTAATTGCGTCCCGTAGGACGCAACAAAAATTCCCAGGTTGGTATCCGGAAGTTGGAGAAGAATCATTTTCGCATCGTATACTGGTTATAATTTCAATGATTTACACATCTATCCAATCAGTCCATATAGTGTAACAGTAACGACCCATCTGTGACCAGGGGCGGATCCAGCCGGCAGCAAGAGTTTTTTTTTTGGGGGGGGGGGGGGGCGTGGTCAGGTTTTTTTTTTTTTTTAAAGGTAAAATTTACATTACTATCCTATTTTTAAAAACCGGTTTTGGAGGCTAGGGGGGGGGGGGGGCGTTAGAATCGGCCCGTGGATCCGCGCCTGGGCAGCCCCCCCCCCCTCCCCCTCCCCCTCATAATCCAATATTCCGGGTCCATCACATTCCACTGAATGTTATTTTGAGAAGAACCCTAGCTACATTTTCATCTCCTAAATGTGCTCCAATAGCGCTGCGCTCCCAAGTTTTCATGCGCTGATTGTTTTTATAAAAAACGAAAATGGAATATTATTTGGATATCGGTACGCGAGCACAAAGATATGAAACCACTAGAGCGCATTTGAAATTAACGAACTTGACATCGATATCGTTGATGAGTCAGACGACCGTTTATTTCTTCCTATTTCACTTACCGCGTCGCCTGCATCGTTACACACGTGACACGTCTTGCAATCGATGCATTGCCATGGTGATAATCGTGATCGTTCTGCGAGTTGGCGGGAATACTTCATGCACGAAGGATGAACTGCAAGGGTGCGAAAATTAAGGAGTGATATGAAAATAAAAACGAATGGACTCAGGAATGCGTGCATAACGTAATGATTGAATTGAATAATTACAACGCGTGAAAACATGAATAGAGCGGTAACAATAGATTGATTATTATCATATTCAAAATGGACCACCAACTGCATTTGCGTCTTCACTATTCGACCAGCTGTTACAAGCTGATTCACAATAAACAATGGTTTTCCATTATACTGCGCACATCTCTCTAAACGTTAATTGTACAATATCCATTTTTACGAATTAGTGACCATGTACACCTGCAAAGTCCAAAGTATTTACAGTAGTTAATTATTGGGCTCTGTGTACGACCGTACAAGAATGATGAAGATTAAACAAAAAGTATTATATGAAAAATGTCTTTTCCCTCTGTATTTGGTCTGATCCGAACTCTAGTAGGCGTTCAATTCATTTTAATCATCAGGTAAAATGAAATCATTGATGACATCGGTAATGATGGGTTTTTTGTTTTCATTTTGTTGTTTTTTGGTAAATATTTATTTATTTATTTTGATATATTTTTTCCCATTTGCTATGTTTTTTAATGCTTTTTTTATATAATTTATGTATGATGTAACCTCGCATTTTTAGTCATTGGACTTTTTGACGAGATTGAATAAAACCTAATTTGAATTAAATTGAATTGAATTGAATGTATGGAATTGTGACGTGGACCTGCCCGTATATTTCCAGTTCAATTAAATGTAATGCAATGGTTTTCTTCATATTCTCACCGCGGCAATGTGTTGCCGAATTGTGAAGAAACGTGTATACAAAAATTAAAATTATACATCAAAACACATCAAATACATAAAAATACAATAATCAGCCAGAATAGGCATATGCAATAACAACGCAAGTAAGATGCAAGGTTAACATCACAATTTTAAACCAATAGATAAAATTAATTTTCAAATTGTACTATAAGGAGGTTGGATAGCAAGATGATTGGTCGGGTCTGTTAGGCAAACAATATGATAGAGGGACATGGCGAAAAGGTGAAGAGAGAGAGGAAGGAGAGGTCTTGTGAGTGAGTGGGAGATAAGGATCGAGGATAAGAGAAGCAGGTAAACGAAAGGAGGAAAGTGGACAGAAAGAGTTTCAAGTATAGGAAACGGGTGAGAGAATGACGTCATCGCAACTTGTAGGGGTCACCTTTTATAGTGCAGTCCTTGCAGACGAGAAGTTCCTCTTTATCTCCGAACTTGTTGCAGCTAGCAGGTAAAGTGCAGTAATCACATCTTTGGTCCCACATGGAGGTTTTTATCAGGGGCTCCTGCTCGAAGTCTGGGCCATGTGTCTTCCTGATGCGCTGTATACGTTATACGAATAAAATATGGATGATACATTAAAAATGTGTTTATTTATCTAATTTCATTTCTGCTTATTTTCTTTATATTATTAAAAAAGTTAAGATAAATATATAATCATATCAATATTAATCTATTAACTTATACCTTTAATAAAAACCCATATAGTTGACAAATCATTTAAAAATTGAAAAATGCAGGAGACCTCCATCTTAAGCCCGAGCTTAAATTAAAATTGTTCAAAATATTGTTATGTAACTCTGGATAATAATGATTTTGACGTGGCGTGGCGTAGCAAAGAAGGGGGGGGGGGACCCCACGTCAATTGTGAAAAAAGAGTACAGTCAGGATAATCCATAACACAATATAGCGTTATTTATGCATTCTACATTACAGTATCACTGTCAAGTATTTCAATATTTTAAACTTCAATACATATTAATTTTTCGCCGGAAAATATTATTCTAAGCTCCATCACAATGACCACTGAAAAACCGCGTGCCGCATACAAGGAATTTCCCCGCTACGCCGTTTAATATAGATCGTGTAAGTCGAAAACCAAACGCACACCGTAATTATAATAATCCTACCTCGATCAGATTTAAAAAAAATGTTATTAAATAACATTAGATATTAAAATCTAAACCATTGCCATCTTCCGAAATGAGGTTCTGAATAATAATCTCGCTTAATAATCTCTACTATACCAAAGCAAGGCAGACAGCCCAGTTATATTTCCACAACAATTAAAGTAAAGGGCACCTTAAATTTCGAAAATGGGGATGAGTGTATGTTCCAACGGGTACATAAGGCAGGGAGTAAATAATCAGAATCTGTATTTTTTTTCTCTCCGGAAGGGCACCATTTTCAAGCTATAAAAGGGCACTTTTTCATTAATCGAGAGATATTTATTGATTTTGGAAAAATCTCAGATTGTTTGCCCAAGGTCCCATAAATTGGTAATCGCCTCTATTCTTAGTAACTGCTAATTTACCCCCCCCCCCCCAATCCGGGGTCCGAATGGCCGCATGCGTGTTATTAAAATGTCCGGTAAAGGGGTACTTTTCGTGCGACAAAAAAAAAAAAAAAAGGGGTGTATTGACTTTTCACCCGGAGATTTCTTTAAAAAGGGGGTGTTTTTTTTTTTTTTTTTGGTCTCTCTCATCTCTTTGGACTCCTGAGAAATTATTCCGAATTTAGGGGGTACATTGAGCATTTTCCCGTATTAAAGGGGGGGGGGGGGGTCTCCAAGGCAGGAAAAGCCCGTGAAAGGGGGGTTCTGAAATGTTGGCAGTCCTCAGATAGGGGGTGCTTTCAAAAAGAGGGAACGAGCATACGCGTACCCTATTAAATAACACTGAGTGGGGGCCCGGGTAATTTACATGCACATCATCACGTCCGGATCGAAATTCTGCATAATCATAGCTATACATTTCCCTAACAGTATGTTCGCGGTACTAACATTTTCACTGTGTTACCAAAAATGGATTTTGACATGCCATTTCAACACAATGCTACTCGGTGAAGCATGTATGGATTATTGCAACCATAGGATCATTTGAGAGCATATTATTTCTACAAGAAGGCATACGTTATTACGTACAGCTCATAGCTTTCTCGCAATTAGATTTTGTTTTCGTTTGTTATTCTTTTTTTCAGGGACGCACTGTGAGCGATAGAGGGTAAACATGTATGGTGACCCTATCACGTGATTTAATGGCGACCTATACAGCTATAGCTGTGCAGCTGCAACAAAACTATAAGCAAAATGCATTGAGAGTGAAAAATACCATAACTATTTTAAAAACTAGTAAAGCATTAAATTGCCTATACAGCCTCAACAATGTATTCTACATGACATGTAATTTTATTCGATTCAAAGGTCGAAATTAATCATAGAAGTACTTGTGTAGCGCTGTAAAGGGTGAAAGGGTGAACTTTCAGTATAAAACACATTAAGATTGTATATGTTTGTCCACTTACTCCATTAATTATGCATAGGTCTACATGTTAGTGCGCATATCTGGTGCATTCACCGTTCTCACGACGCTAAGCAGGAGAGTTGGGATGAATGCGTAATGAAGTGCGTTATTTTGATTCGTTTCAAGCATTGGAAACTAGTCACGCGCGTCGATCGGTGAGGCAGCCCCCCCCCCCTCCATCCACCCAACTTTATAATTACGTTGACACTATAATACGACATACACAATTCGGAGTCAATGCTTGTGTGCCCCTATAGGACCCTATGCCATGCAAGCACACCCTGAAGATCGACGCCCTAATGTGATACAACATTCCCTTTGGGCCTTTTCTGTCAATCGCCCTCGCTACCCCCCTCCCCCTTCCATTTTGAAAGACGTACAACAATATTGGTCTCTCTTCACAAGAACAGTTTTGCCGAATAACAGCGCACCCGGTATTCTAGTCCCATCCCCCCCCCCCCATATCAATGATTCCCATAGATCGTTTGTGTAGGCCTACTTGTGCATGTATTTATCATGAGGGTTTAGGCCTATTTTCAATTTTCAAAACACGAGTTGAGAGGAGTGCCAAAACATTAGAGGGGGAGAAGGAAAGAGAAAAAGGGAGAGAGAGAGAGAGAGAGAGAGAGAAAGAGAGCGGGAAAAGTGGAGAGAAGTGAAGAGAAGTATAGAAGAAAGGGGAACGAACGAAACAGACTACGCAAAGCAGAAATGCATGACTGCCATGAGAATTATACCAAGAAAGCGTTGGAAGGTGCAAGTTCAAAAAGGAAAAGGGCACGTCGGGTTTATTACATTTTCCGCATAAATATATGCTCTTTCCACTTCCCCTTTCATAATCATGTTGGCGAATTGACATAATCGTCCTTGTGAACTTGGCCCCTTGCTCTTGAGTAATACAGTAGCACAGTCAATAAAAACGAGGGACCCCCCCCCCCCCCCCACACACCCTGCCGGTCTTTTATAGGGTCATTTTTATGACCTCGTGATGTAGGCCTACATACGTTTGCAAAAGTAGGCGTCTCTTATAGTTATCAAATTAAACATTATTACCAAAACCATGTAGTTGGTTAAAACCATGCGATGTATGTACTTCCGGGTCTAGTTTGGGTATTTCCACGAATTCAAAGTTAATGGTGCATGCACTTAACTGACGTCACTTCTGCATTTCATACAATTTCACATGTTTGTTTTCATTGGGAACAAATAACTGTATACATTATCATACAAGGTCGTGAAAATTCATTCAAAATTACAGAAAAAGTAAACATTGATTTTTTTTTTTTTTTTTTTTTTTTTTGGGGGGGGGGGGGGGGGGGAATGCGAGCTAATTGCGGATGATCTAATCCGGTATCTACATCCGCTTTCATCATTGACCGAAAACTTGATCAGCTCCAAACGGGGACATTAGAGAATATATTCTATGCGCCATGACAAATTTTATATTGGTTCACAATCGTGCAGAGCCGGTCTGCTGAGCATTATTGATTCTATCTAAATACGCAGATGGCTTGTGCACTATCGAAAACCGATTGCTTATTATTTTGGGCAATACATTGCACCTCAGTCGGGGTGACCCCCACCCCCCCCCCCCCCATCCCTCCCTCCGACTACCATGGATATACCTAGATATTTTGTCCGGCGGGCATTTACTGTCGGCACATTCAATAATAATGTCGATAAATTTGTCAGCATACTGGGTCCCCCTATACCCATCGTCACCGACATAAAATAAATTATATGACATTATTATCTAATCAAATCAAATCGCTTATTAAAATTCTGACATAATAATAATTTACGACTTATCAGAAGCAACAAAAAAAGGAACATAGAGCCCAATCTATTTTCTACTTCATTGTTATTATTTATGGTATATCGGCCATTTCTTCATTTTAAAAAAAAAGAGGAAAACTGGCTAAAAGATCTATCCGTAAAGATTGTCGTTTGTAACTAAGATAAAAGACATTGTATTTCTTTTCTTGTCTGAGCGTGTAATTTACGTGAGATGATACGACCCAGCATTACCATCCCCGCTCGGTCGCTTTGTTCGATCTCATAATCTAGCTACAAGTTCCTTATCGTGCACCCTTCACGACTATGGACACACGTTACGTCATATACGATCCGGTCGACATTAATGTACATACATGTAGCTTTCTGTATAACCTGAATAATCATACTAGTCTTATTTTCTTAACTGAATAATATTGGATTTCTGATTTTTTTTTTTTTAAAGATTGGAATAATATAAATTATGATCAATGAGACCGATTGAGAACGCCCCCCCCCCCTCCCGAAAACATTTTTTTTTCTTCTTTTCAGTTTACACGGAACTTCTACATTAATGTGTATGCGTTTGCGTGTGCCCCGCCCCCTGTAATCACCTTCTTTACATAATGATATATCTCCCGACATCAAAACTGTAATATCATGTTTAAGTAGATTACCCCATACGCATTAGTATTGACCAATATAAGCTTTGCTAGAGTGGATTTCATTCATTTCTCCACACTCCAACCCACACCACTCGATCTCACTCAATCGCATATTATCATTGTGCTTAAATCACCTTGTGTGGGCTCTATTTTATGGTAAAACTATGATGTTTATAGAGGCGATGAAGAAATATAACTCGAACTATCTTTTATAGTACAGCATGTCACATGATATAATCTACGTAATTTCCATTTTCTAGGCCTTTATCTAATCATAACTTGGACAAATTACTCCCTTAAACGTTACATGTTTCAAGAATACGCAATGTTTATGGGTGGGACCGTCATTATATCATGGTGCACGCTTGAACACATTCTGAATGATGAATCCGCCTATCCTGCCTTGTGTTTTTACAAAGGACTGCTTACTGTTTACATAACACATAAAAGAGAAGAAAAGTCTAGAACGATCCTAACTTTAGTTGACCAATCTAGTTAATCATGAACCTGCATGCCAACATCGCATGGACATGGTCTTGTTTACTTCCGCGCTGAACTTGTAGTACTAAACTTATAAGCCGTTAATAAAACTAGAGAGAAAAACATGTCCGCCAGAGCACATACTGTAAAACGGTATAACTAGCTTTATCTTCAGTTCAAAGAATAACGCGCCTGGATTGCGCGAATTATGGGTACCGATTTGGCTTTCATGTTCTTTTGCGGAAGGGGTCTCCTCATTATTATAATTGTATTGGTCACGTAACTTACAGTTTGTTGAGTAAAGGTCGCAGTATCCTGACATAAATTTAAAACCTGCTTCGTTTAATTTGAACTCTGATCGCTTTTACAATTTCCAAATCATGTCAAAGGAAAAAAGTGGCGCGCGATTATTATTATGGACACATTCGTGTGCGATTATAATACAAACCTTTCGTTTTGATGGCCGAGGGCCCCGTTTCAATTGAAACGACTCTTTATCTTCATAGGAAACGGCATATTTGGCCAGCACGTATTTGTTGGTGGGACTAATATAGAGCCTTCTTGCACCAACTTCTCTCTTGAGAGCCTCCTCCAAGTACCTCCTAGTGAACTTGGTGTCTGGATTCTCATCTGCAAACGACTTCTCAATGTCCTCCAAACTTGCGCCTCCAAGCGCGTTATTTCTTTTTGTCGGCTCGCCATTCAGGGTGCAATTATCATCCTCTAAAACTTGACCAGGCTCTTTCATTGACTCCGGGACGGTCAATTTCTCAATCGCTGCCAGAATAGACCTTGTAGCGTCATTTGAGTTGAGTTGGTACCCGCCCAAGCGACTTTTACACCACTTGGCAGCATTTCGGTAGCTCGTATTGCCTTTGTAATCCACTTTTATGACAATATCTTCGTCGACCAGTCGATCTAACTCTGTAATCACATCAACCCCGGTCAATCCATATTTGCGTTCCACCATGTGACAAATTCGCTCCAAATCTGGCCGAGCTTTACGCCTTCGCAACGAGTCAATTGAATCGAGAATCACAGCTTGACGATCTACTTCAGCCATTGGTACCTTTGTTTTTATCTAAAACTGCTTCTATGTTTAAAAAAAACGGTGTTAAAAATGCTTCTTCTTTTTCTCCAAAAGCGTGCACACTACTCATCGAGCGTTTGCCAGGCCGCTTGCGCTTTGCTAGATCACACGTATATACGCGACCATACTATTGAATAAATTACGACAGCGGCGCGGCGTGTATGTAGTAAACTGTATAGTTTGTGTTCAATGCTGAAAATATACATCAAAGTAAATCGAAGAAGATTAGTTGTGCGCATGCGTCATGGACCGCAGGCAATGAACTGTATGCGTGTAACGGAGGCCGCAATAAGTACACCAGTATAAAGTACACGGAATTCCTACATACAAAGGGCATTGCACGTTACTACGTTTCTCGTATTTACAAAAAACTTCTATACTGGCAAACTATAAACAAATTATAAATCATATAATTTCCACAGTACACTGGCATAATAAAGATTGAAACACAGGCCTGTGCATGTTACTGAGCTGTGTTTTCTTGGTATAAAATATAAAATATACTCCAGGCTTGGTTGGACGAGTCAGGCATTATTGTGTCGATAATTCTTTTTCCATTTTAAGCCGACATAATATTCTACCCGAAACAATGCACACGTGAAAATTAAAATTATCACACGCAAGTAGTCTTGTATATGAAATGCGCTTGCAGTCCTATATAGGGTGATATGGCGTCACTCAGCAAAATGGGCAAAATAAAGCAGAAGTTCTAGATACACTGAGGCAACTGCCGTTTATAGACAGCTAGGAGCGGTTCTAAAGGTGGGGCTGGTGGACTCATGCTCGAGCCCCCCCCCCCCCCCCCCCCCCCCCACGCAGTGTTTTTTTTTAGGGTACGCGTATGCATGTTCCAGCCGAGGCGGATCCAGCCGACGGGAAGGGAGGGGGCCAGAGAGGAGGCCCAATTCGTGAACAAAATATTTAGCGGCGAAACAGCCAGGGGGAGGGGAGCGTACGTAGGTATAAGCTGAGCACAATTTTTTTTTGCTCAACGGGGGGGGGGGGGGGGGGGGGGGGGTTTGGGAGGGGGGTAGATCAGAGACCACTATTGTTTTACTCAAAACCCACCCTCACACCTTGACCAAAAAAAAAAAAAAAAAAAAATAGTGCTCCTCTTTTTGGGGGGCCTGGAGAGGGGGCCCGTTTTTTTTTTTTTTTTTAAACAAAAAAAAGAGTTAAATTTACCTGTTTTTGCCCCCCCCCCCCCCTGGATCCGCCACTAGCATGTTCCCTCCCTTTGAAAGCATAGACCCTGTCTCCGCGCGGTGCGTAAAGTCAATACGGGTCTGATTTTGTTGCGTGAATTTGGGGTACACGAATGCGGCCCCTCCGACAAGGGGGGGGGGCTTCGCCGTGTGATACTTTTCTTACGTATTGAGTGCAATTAACAACCGTACGCCCCCCCCACCCCCCATGGTACGGGAGGAAAGGTAAAGGCATGGTGGTATAAAAGGGAGAGAGGATGAATATGAAGATGGGTGGGTTATTTGGGTTTGTATTTACTGACGTATAGACTGACTCTGCAAGAGTAGAGGTCCATATAACATATTTACATGCAGATAATTATAAACAATGAACTAGATAAGAGGCCCTCGGGGGGACATTGAATTAAAACTGACATATTTACATGTAGATAATTAACAGTCAACAAAAAAAAGAGGGGAACACATACAGATATAAGAGAAACAAGACTGAACTACTTTAATCAACCTCTGCCGACTGTGACAACAAGCTATACTGAACCAGAACTAAGTCTGAGGTGAATGAATGCAGTATCTCAATCAGATTTATGTCTGGGAACCGACTTTTAACGTCACCATCCGAAAGACGTGACTCAGACTGGAACCGGGGTGCGTTGACTCAGAGAGAAAAGGTACCGTGAATGGGTAAGAGGTCACTTTTTTTTTTTTTTTTTTGGTCCCAAAAAATATCGCAACGACTCAGCCGACCGCTGAATAAGGGGGGGGGGGAGGGGGGGGGGGGGGGGGGAGGGGGGGGGGGAGGGGGGGGGGGTAAGAGGACACTTTTTTTGTTTTTTTGGTATCGAAATTTGAAAATTTGACATTTTGCTCGGTTGGGGAAGGGGGTAAGGTCATCTTTTTGAGGTCAGCCATAGGAATTAAAAAAAAAAAAAAAAAAAAAAAAAAAAAAAAAAATCCAAAAGGGGGGGGGGGGGGGGGGAGGTTTAGGGAAATTTAGGGGGGGGGGGTTTACACACAAAAAAATACCCCCCCCCCCCCCCCCCCCCCCCCCCCCCCCCCCCCCCCCCCCCCCCCCCCCCCCCCCCCCCCCCCCCCTGTGTACGCGCCTGATCTTATGTGATAGAAAATGAACGTAATTCCGTACAATTCGTTGATATTCTATCTTTCATTTCATTCTATTGTTAGAATCTGGGAGCTATTTATAACATAAATCTATCACTTGCCCCAAAACTTGTTCAAGCTACATCATTTGATCACTCCATTTATAAACTCTTAGATAATTATTTTGTTCACTGTCTTATTTGTCATAATGTTATGTAGAAAGAAAGACAGACATATAACTTCTGTACATGTTGTATATAATGTACGGTATATTGAAAAGAATCGAATCGGTGTTTGAAAGGGTGTTTGAAAATGTTGGAAATCGCGCCGACCGATATTTCGCTCATTTAAGGGGGGGGGGGGGTAATGAATATTCATTAAAACAAAAATGAGGGGGGTGTTTAGCCCCCCCCCCCCGAAAACACCCGCTGCGTACGCCCCTGCTGATGATATTTTATCTGTGTTCATGGTTCATGCCGAATATTTTTTTTCCTTTTTTGACCCCCCCCCGCCCCACCCCGAAATTTGAAAATCGCGCCGACCGATATTTCGCTCAAGGGGGGGGGGGGGGTTAGGAATATTCATTTTGTTTTCAAAGAAAATTGAGGGGGTGTTTAACCCCCAAAACAACCCCTGCGTACGCGCCTGCTGATGATGTTATATCTGTGTTCATACCGAATAAAAGAATGAAATATAATGATATCGAGTACACTGTCGTATGTATATTATTTAGGCCTATACCAGTTATTGTGACTAATCAAAAAGAAGCTATTATCTTTTTAAACCACGACCCTTTCATATCCGCCTTGTCCGTCACATTCTATTTCCGTATTTGCCCTCTCTTATATATTGCTCTGCAGGAAACTGGTAATTTACTATTTGAACGTTTCTTGGTTAACAAAATATTTTAACATATAGTACAGTTATATTTCGCTTATATTTAAAACAGGATGAATAGCCATGAGCATGGATCATCTATCGACGTCATATTAGCTTCAATATTATATACGGACCCCTCCTTTTTTCTTCTCTCTCTCTCTCTCCCCTTCATCTCCCCCCTTCTCTCTCTCTCTCTCTCTTCCTCTCTCCCATCTCATAATTATATATTATATTTTCTCTCAAATTTCTCTCGCTGCGCCCATAATCTCTCTTCTCCATACCACATCATCATGGTTTTTTTCTATTTGCAGGCAAAACTTTAATCCGTTTAAGGGCGTGTGACCAATTTTATCGACAAGCTTACTGAGAGAAAATCAAAATTTGTTAAATAGCAATTACAAAGAAGGTCAAGAAATACACATTTTGGCGGTAGCAATTTTAAGCGTCTCCGCTAGCTGTCACTATCACCAAGAAAACCTTTGCCGCAAGGAAGGACTTATTACAGTGTTTCTGCGGGGAAATTTTCGTCAAACTGTGTCACATATTAAGTGCAAACAAACTAACAAAGTAGTTGAGTTCCATAAACCATAGTCTGGTGTTTATTCCCCGCACTGGGTATCAAGTCACGCGTATCGCATATACATCGCGCACATGCGATCTGACCTCCTGAGGTCACAGGTGTCACATTTGCATAATCTGATACATATTCATTATCATGACATCCCTCCTTTGCCAGAATGAAACTTTATCCTGGTCTATTTTTATACTATAGTTTCACTGAAAATTCTTGTAATATTTCTTTTGTTCTTGTGTTTCAGCCATATGTGAATTACTGAAATAAACATGCTTTGGTGCATTTGCTTTTGTTTCTTCCTTTTTTTATTTTTTTTATTTTTAAAAAACAACTTCTAACAAACAACAAATTTATCTGGTCGATAAACTTTTCCCAAATGTTTTATCTTCCAAACAACTTTGTTGAACAACATAAAACATAACATGCAATATAATATCTTTCATGCAATATCTTTCATGCATCCAGTCTGTGGTCCAAATAAAAGTTCAACTGTTCACTGGATACTATTTGAGTTCTAGTTTTGAGTTTGTGTAAATCATCTGTTATCTCCAAGCGTTCATACGACTAGCTGAAACTGAAGTTTCTGGAAATACTCTCTTCGATGATTGAATCCATTTTTGAAAACTGATCGATGCTCCAACTCAAACTTGTGTTTTTCGCAACACCTATCACATACAATAAGGGCAGCGTTCGGCGTACACCCTTTTACATTGATTAATGTATGTGTAAGATTGAAACATATATATATCAGAACTTATTATTTTAGCACATAACACAACTTCCTCGTACGCTTGGTTTCCATGGTGATTTCTCCAACATGTCGATTTCACAAATATGGGCAGCGCAAGGCGTACACCCTTTAAATCATAACTTGGCTTCAACCAATGATTTCCAAACATTTCTCCTTGGCACATGTAGTTTCAGATATCACTGTCGCTATTTTACAAAGAGCTCATCCCCACCATATTGATCTGGAATCACACAAAATCATCATATCGCTTAGGGAATCTTCTCTGGCGTTGTGGTCTACTAGCTGCCATAGGAGCGTTGGTGTTTGTTGTCTCTGCTTGGGTATCACCATCTTGATGTCTCTGGTCACCGCCTGATGTGTTGCTTGCTGCCTCTGAGTCTGGATCTCTGGTCACCGCCTCAGGAGTACTGGTCTCCGCCTCAGGATTACCGTCCGACCCTTCAGGAATACTGGTCACCGCCTCAGGATTGCCGTCTGTCCTCTCTGGATTGGCAGCTTCGTTATGAGTGTCTCGGGACATGTATCTTTTTACACTTGATACATTCCTATTATACAGGACTCCGTCAGGAGATTTCACAGTTACCATACTTCCTGTTCTTGCTGTCACTGTATATGGCTGGCTAAAGTATGGCGTGTCTAGTTTCCTCCTTTCATCACGTCTTACTATCACCTTATCTCCTGGCACTATGTCAGAATGTACAGCTCCCTCTTCAGATCTGCATAGTGTTTTGCACCACTTTTCATTTGGAGGTCCCTGTCTCTGAGTTCCTGATCCTCACTAATGTCCTGGATTTGTGGTAGTTTAGTTCGGATCTTTCTCCCGAACAACACTTCTGCCGGGCTTTTTCCCGTTGTCGAATGAGTACTAGCCCGGTAGACTGCGACGTAAGTCAGCAAGGCCTCCTTCCAATCCTTGCCTTCTGCCTGTGCAATTCTAAGCCTTTTCACTATACTCTGGTTCTGTCTTTCGACCTCGCCGTTGGCTTGGGGCCATTTAGGAGTCACCCGATGGTGGTGAATTCCTGTAATGTTCATGTACTCTGCGAAAACTTCTGAGATGAACTGGGGTCCATTGTCTGAGTATAACGTCACAGGTAACCCATGTCTGCCAAAGATTTCAGCCAGGGCTTTGACTGTCTTCTCTGCAGTGGTTGATTTCATGATTGCATACTCGTAGTATCTGCTATAATAATCAACTACCACAAGTATAGATTCTCCTGTCGGAAGTGGTCCTAGGAAATCAACAGCTACATCCACCCAAGGTCCTGTTGGCAACATAGTACTTCGAATTGGTTCTGGTGGATTACCCCTGCTTGTGATTTGGCAACCATGACAAGTCTTGACGAATTTCTCTGCATCTTTCTCACATCCTGGCCACCATACCTTGGTTCTCAAATTCTGTTTGGTGCCAACAATGCCCAGGTGTCCTTCGTGAGCTAATGACACCATCTTTGGCCTCTGTGCCTGTGGAATCACCAATCTGCTACCTCTCAGCACACACTGACCAATTATACAGAGTTCATCCTTGATGGGAATGTATGCTTTATATGGACAATCATCCCATTGTCCACTGTGAATACACTCTCTGATAACTTCGAGTTCAGGATCATGTTCAGATTCTCTTTCGACTTCCTTCGTTGTCACCGCACCTGGCGTTGACTGGACTGCCACAAAACGCACAAAGCTCTCTGCTTCTGTTTCCAACACAGAAGTTTCTCTCGGTTGATCATCCTTCAGCAATCTTGACAATGGATCTGCTATGTTGGACTTTCCTGCGATGTGGACTACCCTGTACTTGTACTGTTGAAGCCTCAGAACCCACCGCTCTATTCTCGCACATGGCTTAGATCTCGGTGAATAAATGACTTCAAGCGGTTTGTGATCAGTCACTAGATCAAACTCTATTCCATACAGGTACGCATGGAATCTTTCACAAGCCCACACAAGTCCAAGGGCTTCTTTCTCCGTCTGAGAGTATCTCCTTTCAACGTTACTTAACGAGCGGCTGGCATATGCTACTATCCTCGGGCCATCAGCATGCACCTGCACCAGCACTGCTCCTAAGCCAACTGGACTGGCATCCGCTATGACCTTTGTCGGTGCATTTAGATCATAGTAGCCCAGGGTCTCTGCACTCATCAAGCTTTCCTTTAGCGACTTAAACGCTTGTCGCTGTTCATGACCAAATTGAAATGGCGTGTCCTTTCTGGTCAGCTTTCTCAGTGGATCTGCCAATGTAGCAAAGTTCGGAATGAACTTTGCGCAGTAGTTGACTAGCCCCAAGAAACTTCTCATCTCAGTTGCAGTCTGGGGTTCACGGGCCTCTGCAATTGCTTTCACCTTGGCCAATCCTGGGTTGAGTCCCTCGCTAGTCAGTCTGTGCCCCATGAAGTCCAACTCAGAGACACCAAACTTACACTTTTCTGCATTTGCAGTAAGTCCTGCGTCCCGCAGTCTGCCAAGCACCTGCTTCAACCTCTTGTCTAGACCGAAAGCTTCAGTCTCTATAATCGTCGGTTGTTCCACTGAGACTACGTCTGGCTCCACTAGACCTCCGGTTATAGAGACAGAACGACTGCCTATGCCAGCCTGTGTTGAACTTATTCCGCTAGATTTTAGCCGCTAGGCCCCTCCCACAAACTTGCCACGGCCGTATTGTTATGCCCCCAAAATCCCCCAAAATGTCATTTTACCTCGTCCATATCCAATTTTAAATTAGGCCTAGGCTATAATACATCGGTTCCACTTACTAATTTGATGTAAATAATCCGTTTAATGGTCCCTTTTAAGGAAATTATGGGTCAAAATCGACATCCATGTTGAAAATCTTGCAAGCCGTGTTAAACTCTCGTTGCCGTCAATCTCATCCCTTCTAGTCTACGCCGAAGGCAAAATGATTATGAAGGAAAAAACTGTGATAACGCCATTACGAACGTGTAGATGGCGCACAGTTTTTCCTTCATTATCATTTTGCCTTCGGCGTAGACTAGAAGGGATGAGATTGACGGCAGCGAGAGTTTAACGGACGGCTTGCAAGATTTTCAACATGGATGTCGATTTTGACCCATAATTTCCTTAAAAGGGACCATTAAACGGATTATTTACATCAAATTAGTAAGTGGAACCGATGTATTATAGCCTAGGCCTAATTTAAAATTGGATATGGACGAGGTAAAATGACATTTTGGGGGATTTTGGGGGCATAACAATACGGCCGTGGCAAGTTTGGGGGAGGGGCCTAGCGGCTAAAATCTAGCGGAATAAGTTCAACACAGGCTGGCATAGGCAGTCGTTCAGTCTCTATAACCGGAGGTCTAGTGGAGCCAGACGTAGTCTCAGTGGAACAACCGACGGTATAGAGACTGAAGCTTTCGGTCTACCTCTTGTCATGCTCTTTCTGGGTCGATGCATGCACAATGATGTCATCTGATATGTTCGCAGCTCCTTCTATCCCAGCTATCACTCTGTGTATCTCATATTGATAAATCTCTGGAGCAGCATTGATTCCGAACAACAGTCTCTTATAGCGGAACAACCCACAATGAGTGACAAAGGTTGTCACCTCTCTAGACTCCGGATGTAACTCCAGTTGGTGGTACCCCCACTTCAGGTCTATTTTCGAAAAGACCTTGCTAATCGACAGCTCCTGTAGGACTTCCTCAATAGTGGGAATGGGGTGACGTTCTCTTATGATTGCTTCGTTCACTCTACGCATATCGATACACAGTCTAATTTCATCATTTCTCTTTGGAACTATGACAACTGGGCTTACCCATGGCGTGGAGCGTTCAACTGGCTCAATGATGTCGAGATCGATCAATTCCGCAATCTTCATCTCGACCTTTTTTCTCAGTCCAAATGGAGTCCTTCGCACAGGCTGGGCCACTGGCTTCACCGTTTCATCCACTGCTAACCGCACCTGTCGGCCCTTCAACTTCCCTACTCCTTTGAAGACTGCTTCAAACTCATGCTTTAAACCTGCATAACTCTGTACCGCATTTACATGTACAATTCCCACCTGGAGCACTCCCAGCTCTCTAGACGTATGTTTGCTCAGTAAAGGTTCTCCCTTTTCTTTGATGACAACAAACTCTGCAGTCGACTTCATCTTGCCAACTTCTACGGTGGCTGTGAAACATCCAATGGTCGTTAATGGTATATGTGATGTGTATGGATAAAGCCTCTTGGTACTCTTAGTAGATTTGCAGATGATTTTGTCCTTCTTCAGTTTCTCCCACAATATCTGATCTATTACATTGCAATCACTTCCCGAATCTACTAAGCAACCTGTCGTAATTTGGTAACAAATTGGGCAACCGTTTCACCATCTTCCTGCTTTGTTTTCCTGAACAAATGTCTTTGAAACGTAGCATTAGGTTTGACAACATAATGAGCATTTAGGGCATCTGTGGCTTTTTGATACTCATTCCTCTCTCCTTTATTGGGAAGTGTTTTGAAAGTCTCCCTTACCACAGGCCCCGCAGTGTACAGCAACAGTGCTCTCCGTTGCGCCTCCTGGGCCGGCGTACATCCGTCCAGAAACAGGCCGCGACTATCGGCGTAGGCCTCGAACTCTTCAAGCCAAGCTTTCCACTTGCCGCTGACAATACTTGCACCACCCGTCGGATCGAAGTGTGGAACTCCTCGAAGCGCTAACAATTCCGCTCCAGCGAATGCCATGTTGAAACTTTTCCAGCTCGTAGCCACAGATTCAACATCCAAGAAACATTAATCCTCGTCGCCAATGTCACATATTAAGTGCAAACAAACTAACAAAGTAGTTGAGTTCCATAAACCATAGTCTGGTGTTTATTCCCCGCACTGGGTATCAAGTCACGCGTATCGCATATACATCGCGCACATGCGATCTGACCTCCTGAGGTCACAGGTGTCACATTTGCATAATCTGATACATATTCATTATCATGACAAACTGGTCTGTTGGAATATAGTCCCCGAGCAGTTCATTATGGAACGATTAAGGGAAGTGTTAACAGTCTGACATAATTATGCATGATATAGAGTTGCACGAAATGAGCTCCTGTGACAATTGCGGGTCAATTTTTAACACTGTCCGAAACTCCGAATCCCTAACTTCAATCCTTGGCCAAACACTAATCTAACCCTAACGCCAAACATGATCTCTGACCCGGATGCAACCCCGAACTCGAACCATTATACTTTGATTTGACGTAATGAAAACCCGCTGAGAGAAATGTCTGATCACCAACAAGCATACACAAATAGCCAGATGAGCCTACGAAAATGAATGACGTATAAAATTCATTCTTGAGGAATCATGTAAAAGCTGCATCCGGAGAAAGTTCCGATGATATACAACCGACCCGCGTTATCATTCTGACCTTGCGTCTAACCATTACCGCAAATGACAAAAAGGGCACAACATGCAGACAATGATTATCCGATTCCTGTGATGCGCTCAAATTTGCGTCATCGATGGAATCATCGTGGTGTCAAGGCTAGTCATTGAATCTTGGCGTCGTTGTCTGCGTCGTCATTAAAGGTATAGACCAGTTTTGGAAACGCCCCCCCCCCCCCCTCTCAAAAAAATGAAATGGAAGCTCTTGTTACCAATCATGTGAAAGAATATGTTTTGCCGGGAATCCGCCTACTAATTATTGATATATTTGGTAAATTATCATATTCATCCAGCCTCAAATATCGAGAATGCACTTCAACATTGAACATTTGGGCATATATTTCTGCTTTTTTGTTGTTGCAAATTTAGGTTGAAGTTTTGCCATCTAAACCTCATAAGGCAATATTTAAGCAATATTAAATGGATATTTTGCAACCCAAACCCTTTAACCGCAATTTTACCACTACCGGCCTTTACCTTTAAGCAAAGGAGAGAAATTTTTTCTCATACTTGTGTTATTCATCAAAAGTAAATTATGCAAATAAATTATCTATTCCGTCAGAGAACATGAGGGAGAGAGATAGATATAAAAGGAGAGAGAGAGAGACAGGGGAAAGGTGGAGGGGGTACATAGACAGTGGAACTGGAAGAGAAGGAAAGGGAGATACAAATAAGGATATTATGACATTTGTGTATACACATTTATAATATGGATCCAACTTCTTCTTTTTTAATCTATATAGATGGAATCTCATGGTTGAAATGCTTGTTGAAAGTAAATGCTAACTATTTTGATCAATTACTCTCACCCCATCTTCTCTAATGTCTCTCATTCTATGGCCGTCTATTCTTCTCCCTCACCCCCTTTCCACCTACATGCTTTGTTTTACATCATGTGAATTACCCCTCCCCTCCCCACTTTATACCCTGTTCTCTCTATCTAATCCTCTTTTTCTCTCTCTCTACCTCTCTCTCTCTCTCTCTCTCCAACATTCTACTACCGGTATTCAAAACTAAGACTTAGACGTAATATATACTCTTACCTCTAACAACAATGAACTAAGTATAATCACTGATCAAAATACTTGAAAGTTTATTGACAACAAATTATTCACATACGTATTTGGCACATGTAGTTTCTACTTTGTGACATATTTGGGGAATTATACAGATAACTTTGCATAAATCCAATCTGTTGGGACTGCAAAAAGTTTTACTTATGCAATAATTACATGTTTTGCATTGTTTGGTTTTAACAAAATTAACTTGGGAAAAATTTGACCTCTGTAAGTTATGCAGGGTTAACTGTATATCTATATATGTATTGAAATGAGTTAAACTATATTGAGAACATGAGCCAACTAACAAAACCTCATTGTTTACCATAGAAAATCACAATAAACAAGATTATTATTCCTTGAAGTGAAAGACATACTGATTGCACCACACCCTTTCCTGCACTGACGAGCAAAAATTTTACCAAAATTTGGTACTGATGTTCTTTTGATGGAAGAATACTAGTACACAGTTCAGTACAAATAAATACAAAGCAATGATGCCAAAGGCTGTTATGTTGGGTTGATGTATCGTGTCTATCGATAGATTAACAAGACCTGTCAGTACATTGGCCAGTAAGAAATACAGCAGCTGATTTCGACCAATCGCAGACACCAATAGAGAGAGCTGCCGTGATTTGTCTGTAGGCGAAACAAAAGAAAGGAAGAAGAAAAAGGTCAAAATATGTTAGGGAGAGAAAGAGATATGGAGAAAAAAAAAAAAAAAAAAAAAAATCGTTTTTACTAATAAAACTTATATTGTGGCAGTTGCAAAAACTGACAGGCATTTTTTAGACCTAAAGAACACTAATATAATTTGCAACGTTACAAAAGTAGCATGCACTCTATGTACAAGATTTCCAAGACTCATAGGGGTACATATTGAAGTCATTAACTCGTCCAAATATATTACACATCATATTCAAATGACAGAATATATTCTATTTGAAAATTCATTGTGCAGCAAATATCTTTGAGCTGAGAATGCTTATTTAGCATGTGTATAGTATATATAAAGATTTGAGCACTCACCTTTAGCTAAATAATGATGTCTAATGATGGTCATTATGATGTCAATAAGGAGAAAACTGCACAGCACATGTAAACAGTATGCAACCTAGATGATAGAAATAGTGGAAACGGTACAAATATATCTTAGGGTACTTTCTAAAGTTTTCTTGTTTTTTTATCTACAAATATGGGCATGAACAGAATTTAAAACAGAAAGTTGGAAGGTCCTTGGGCCCCCATTTAATATGCACTTTAAAGTAGTAGACCTTGGATGGAAATAATGTCATTTTATATTGTTTTATTGATGGTTTAATGATTTATTATTTTTTTAGATGCAAACCCTCACAAATAACCCAATTTCACATATACATGTATGTCCATATTGAAGATTGCTTCTTCTCTGCTATAAGACAAATTTTTTAAACAGATGTATCACATTCTACATCAGTTAATTGGGTTAACCACTCCATAAGCAAGCCTTTTAAGTTGAAAAGAGTATTCTTTATCCAAAAATACCAAAATATATGTGCAAAGTATTAATGGGTAAGCCCAAACTCTATATTCCATACATTACCAGCCATACTATGTAATTTTCATAGGCCTACTAGAGCATAGATCAGGGCCCTGTTTTATTGGATTTCTTTTCAAGAACAAGTTACAATGACTGTTATAACTTATAGGCTACTGGAATCATGGTATATGATTGGCTGAGAGCAATTTATTTTAGGAATTTATTATTTCTTATTGAAAACAATTTTTATGAAACGTAGTCCAGAACAACTTTGTAATTGTATGGGACACCAAAAGACCAAATACCATCCTAGAAGTCTCCAGAACCTGAACCACCCATTATGGGGATCGTGCATTTGTGCATGTTGCACCAGTCCTCTGGAACAAGCTGCCAAGTGACATTTGAAACATTTAATGCCTAGAAACCTTTCAGAAACATGTCACAAAGGTTTTATTTACTCAGAGTTACTAATGATACTTTGTTATTAACATTTTGGAGAGAGTTTGTGTATTTTGTTTTGTATAGCACCTTGAGTAAGTTAATAGATAATTAAACTTTATAAGTATTTATTATTATTACTTCACAAATATATTATACAGGTATATTGCAAACAACGTAACTTACATTCCAAATGACGTATGGGAGGTTGGCCAGCCGTCTACTTGTGAATCCTATGCGAGCTTCTACGTGTTTAAGGGTGATCCATAACATCACATCCGCTAATAGGAGATATGCCAACACTTTCAGCCACTCGCTAACAATTTTCCTACAAGGATAAAAGCATTGTGCAATTAAAAAAAAAAAACACAGTTCATAGAGTCATTCACGTATCAAAAAGACACAAATTAGTTTTGAATAATGACATGTTTACGGGGCCAATTAAAGGGGCCAAGTGTGATTTGATACTGTTGCACTTTGTCTCATTAATTCCCATTAACTGAATGACCAAAATATGGTATTAAAAACCTAAATTAATGAGATCAATTATGAGATTTTCTGTCTAATTTCTGTTTATACAAGGTCCACGTTTCGAGACCCGCCGCGACACTAATGTCCTTTGGCAAGACATTGATCTACATTTGCCACACTCAACCCAGGTGATGTAAATGGGTACCTGGCAGGAATTAATTCTTTGAAATGCTAGAGCACCGCAATGGCAGCGCAGCTAAAGCCATGGTATGAATCTCCAAGTTTGGAAGCGCTTAGTGATTCTAATAAGCTCTAAATATAAAAACTGAGTATTATAACAATATCACAAACAGACATTATTCTTTTAATCAGAATGTCATACTATTGTAATATCATAATGACCGGCATACTACGAGTGAAACAGGAACAATTTTGTGACCGGGAATGGACCAATTCTTTTGCATCTTGCTCTAGAGATGAGGAAATAGCTTAACTGAAGAATACCCCACCATATTTCAGATCAGTACCATGAATTGGGGATTAGGGTTCAGATTGAGATCAAGGTTAGGACTTACGGTCAGGATTAGGGTTATGGTTACTTGTGTAGTGGGATATTCTAAACAAAACATCTGCCATGGTTCCAAAAATCCAGCTCAATGTCTCCTGGGGGTGTTTCACAAAGATCCTAAGTTGAACTTATCTCTAAGTTGGACGTAACAATTATGGTCAGCCGCTTGGGGTTTGAAACTTTGCATCTATGAAAATATTTTGTAAAAGTCATTTTATAAGGCATAAAATGTTGATTCAAATCATT